CCGTGTGGAGTAAGGAAACTTGCCCATAAAGGGGCTAGGACATCCCTCTCTTTAATGATTAATCTTTGACATAGGGCTTTATCATATTTCGAAACATCTCCCAAGATTTTCCTGCAAAGTGTAGTGACTGTTTTGTAGGCAGCAGCTTATTTGTTTATTTGCCGACAGAATTGACCCCCAAAGCAGGTATAAAATTCAAACTGGATAAAGCAGTGTCTCTCTTAACACAGCAACCAACACAAAACAGATAACCCTTGCAAAACAGATAAGAATACCTCAAATGTAACTTTAGTGTAACTGTAACAGTAAAATGACCAGCTATCGACACAATTTAATGATCTGGTATATGTAAAGTTCAAATCCTAATTTCCCGCTTACTGACACCAGCTGAAGGAAAAGCTGTAACCCCACACTATCGAATTTTTAAGTATATGTTTCACCCCTATATTGGTTAAGACACTAGTCTTTATACGTAATAATAAGCCTTGCATTTGATATAGTGCCTAATTATGTCTTCGAGACGTCTCAAAGCGATTCACAGATTATTCTGTAAAGTATATTTTGTGGGCGACTGTATATATTTGCCCAAGTGACTCTCACTCTTCAAACCTGGTTCCTGATAGTTACGAAGCTCGAAACGCATGTGAAAGGCAGACATGCACACTATAAATACCCAAATCCCGGACTGCTAACATCAATCCTTTTTGTTGAAGGAAACGGATGGCCGGGAAGCAACATTTTCTGTCGCAGGTCGCCCTCTGAAACTCTTATCTCGATGCGGGAGAAGGTATCTAATTATAGACCTTACTGTGCTAAAAGCTTTCAGTACTTTTTGATGACAATGTTCTGACAAATCCTTTTAAACCTAACATTTCAAACAGGAAAGGTAAACTTGTTTTGACATTGCTAGCTGAACCCACTGGCGGAAACTACCTGTTGTGCCTAGACCACTCAGAGAACATGTTTTTCCCCTTGAAAAAAAAGCTGCAGCTTATAAGTTTATTTTGACGCTTGATGCTCATCATACTCTTCTGGCGAATCTGAATAAATGTCCAGAGGACGATGTTCAAGAACAAAGTTTTCAGAAGAAAATATACGAAATCAATAACGGCTGATGGCCATAAATGTCTGTCTCATAAGATTATAGTGCAGATCAGTCTGGTTATAAATGAGGATGGTGGAGTGTAGGCTAAAGGAGGCAGAGAGAAAGGTGGAATTAGCAAAGACAGAGGAAGAGGGAGTGAAGAGATACCTAAGAGATAATTAGACAAGGGAGTTTAGAGTGGGACTGGATGTAAGTTAGAAACATACAAAGAGCACAAATGAATAGGAAATCAAGAAGCATGAGAGGGGAAATAGGGCAGCAATGGCTAAAGGGAGCAGAAAATTTGGGGTTAATTTGAGTTACAGGTCAGCACTGATTCTTGATGTCTAATTGGGTCACTCAAATCTAATTCATTTTGCTTCCCAAAATGGACAATATTTATTTGACCTTCAGAGGATAAAGGGATGATGATGATCATCCCTACCTCCAGGGCCATTTTTTCCCCATTCTGCAATGTGACAAGACCAGTTGCAAGAAAGACAGATGAATCTATATGAGCGAGAGAAAGTGAACGCACCAGAAAAAGAAAACAGCTTTGGGTGAAGACAAGAGACCAAGAGAAATCCAAAAAAAGAGAGCGCAAAACTAATTAGTGCGGAGGCAGCTTAAACACAATGAAGAGTTGACACAAAGCACATTTTAAACAACGTAGCAAGGGAGAGCTGTGAATAACACTGAGACAATTCATTATTATTATACAACAAAACATAAAGCAGTACCTACAGAGGAACAATAAGAAGGTTATTCTACGTAGTTGCAGACAGCACAGCATTTTTTTTCAGGAAAGGAATCTTCCTACAATAATAATATCCCACTGCAACTCAGTGTTTGGATCCTAAACATTCAATGTATTAATAGCCCTTTGTGTTAGCAGTAAAAATGTGGCTTATTTATGCGATTATTTGCGATTTATGCCAAAGCTGGGAATATTTGTACCAAAGAGAAGGCTTAGGTGAGATCTGACTGAAGTGATTGAGATACAAGCCTCGCTTTTAATACTAATAATCCTTGCATTTGATATAGCGCCTTATCACGTCTTCAAGACTGAGGAAAGAGATCTGGATAAATCTGCCAGATCGCCAGAAAATAAAGCTAAATTCTCGAAGATTTCCCCGATCCACACACGTCCACTAGTCCACCCTGGAATTGCGGTGCAGAGCCTTCCCCCAATTAAACAGTCATAGAACTCAGTCAAGGACAAAAGCCACTAGACCATGGAATAGAGACAAAAACTGTAAACAGAAGGAAACAATAAACCACCCCGAGAGCACTCAAACACCTACCCGTTGAGTGTCATTCTTCCAGTTGAGACCAGCTGCCAACTCCGGCCTACCGAACACTGAGACAAGACTAACACGGCGCCATGCATGAAGAACCTGAAACCGCAAGATATCCCAATGCACAGGTGATTGCTATTTTCTTATAGGGGTGGTCACGTCGCAAATTCAGATGCAATGCTCACTCCTGCCTTGAGTAAACCACATACAGCGGTAAAGTTTGTAGCATTCTTAAATATGTTCAATTCTAATGGTAAGGAACAGAACACATTTAGGAACACTACAGACTTGACCCCCACTATTCTCACACTGACCACAGAAATATACAAAACAGGAGGAGGCCATTTGGCACATTTTTTCCTTGTCGGTGTTGACTCCTCCAAGAAACCATCCATCCTAATACCAATTCTCTGCTTTTCCCCATAGTATCTGATACCCTTTCTGTACTTGTGCTTGTCCAATTCTTTTTTAATGTCCCAATCGACAAACTGTGCTAATCCTAATCACACGTACATCAGATATATCACCAGTTAGTACAATTATGATTGTTTATTGTCTCATTCGGACACGTACTCCGGGACTTGAGGCTGAGGCAAGGAAATGAAAGTGATCCCAAGCTGTCTAGGGTTGAATGGCCTTCATTCCTTCCTCTATATGTTCTTAACATCTACAGCGATTTTTAAAATTGCCATGATTTTGTAATTAATTGTCTTACAACTGATCTGCTCAAAGTTTACTTGCAGGTGCCTTTGAACTTGTACAATTCTGCCGTGCTTCCTAACACTGGGTGAAACTATGTACAGCATATTAAATTGTGGAACCAAAAGTTCCTGGGAGTCCTCTACAGGTTTCACTTCTTGATAAAGCTGCTACACTAATGGTATAATCATGAATCTGTATGTGTGAAGGTCACCATTTCTCAAGAGTATGTGGAACACACTGACAGATGATACCCACACTGCCAGCTGCTGGCAGCACAAAAACTGACCGAGAAACAAGTAAGCACGTAACAAAATTCAAACGCTAACATCACTAATAATTGATGTAATCAAGGATGTAATCTCATCTCAAGATTTAGGTGGTCTCTGTAAACTGGTCTACCTTTTAATAACTCCCGGGTATTCATTATTCTCTAAATGATTTAAAACCTGTTCAGGTAATGGATAAGTGTACTGAATGATGCAAAATTTAGCAGATCATAGGTTACATATTAACCAGTTATATTTTGCAGTGTGCAATTGGCTGCCGCGTTTCACCCACAAAACATACAGTCACTACACTTTACAGTGTAGTCTGTAAAGTGCTTTGAGACCTCTCGACAATGTGATAAGGCGCTATATCAAATGCAAGGATTATGATTTGTATTTCAGAGGAAACAACTCCTTGCAATTTAAATTCACATTAGAATTTATTATTATTATTATTATCATATTTTGGGTGGTTAATGCTGATGTATTTCTGATAGAATGAAAGAAGTTTTCTGACCAATTGCCATCTATTCAAACCCAGCTAATTCTTGACCTAAAAGACTTCTTCGAGCAATCGCACTTTTTGAAAGGTTTCTATTTTTTCCTGTCCTCCTTCCTTCCAAAATTTCTGATCCAGTCCACCACCTTACTTGTGCTCTCAAAAAATCCTCATTCCTAAAGTTGAAAGTTTCTGTAGCAGTTAGAAATTCTTCATGTTCTGTGGTTTGCCGATGTTAACAATACACATCTGATTCTAGTCAATCTACTTAAAGGAGATGCTGAATTTGTGTTTGTGATTACCCATGTTTTGTGGTTTCCAAAGATGAAGATCAAATAAATCTAAAAGCTCATCCTTTCCCGTTCTTATCTTGTTGCCTTCTAAGGTAACTACACTGTATTTATTCCCTGGTTTGAAAGAGTGGAGAAAGCAAACCATTCCCATCGCTTGAGTGCGCTACTCTAAGATAGATGCTGGGAACTAGGCTAGCATAATGTGTTTCAACTCCTATTTTCTATTCGTCCTGAATGAATATGTCAACCTGCCACTCAGGATCCCTCAAACGCACAAGGTCAGTAGTTGATCACGCGCAAGAACACAAGGAAGGAACACACGGCTTCCAAACAATGCTGAGCGCAATAAATGTACCAAGGTACTGATCCACTGGAGAGCTTCATTCACTGGTGTTATACAATGAACAAAGGCATTTAATAATAATAATAATAATAATCCTTGCATTTGATATAGCGCTTTTCACGTCGGGAGGACGTCCCAAAGCACTTCACAGAACACACTGTAAAGTGAATTGACTGTATATTTGTGGGCGAACGCGGCAGCCAATTGCGCACAGCAATGTCCCACAAACAGTCATGGATTGAAAATGACCAATTTATTATTGTTTTTTTTTGGAGGGATTATTATTAGGCGTGTGGAGTAAGGAAACTTGCCCATTTTAATTGTGTTAAAGCAGGAAAAGCAAAAGGTTCCTGGTAGACCTTCAAGTGGTTTGATCAGTTTTAAGTGATTCATACATCTTCCATAAATTCGGATTCTAGCTGGTGTCTAATGCCCTTGAAATCTATCATGATTCACACCATTTTGAGTCGATGGTATTCGGTATCTTGTGGCACGTATCACACATTTGCATTTACCTTCAGGTTTGATGCCTAATTGTCTGATGCCAAAGGGAGACTCTCCCAACCTCTTGCCTGAAAACTGACCTCCCAGTGAGGTCATTATAAAACAGAGGGTGAAGAATCCAATCCCTGCAACGAATATCCTAAAAGGAGACAGAAAACACATCACACACTGAGATACAAATTTGGAAACCCTGCACCTTATCTTGCTGCACAACTACAGAATCTTTAATACTGAAAATATAGTGCGTAAAACATGTCTGACTACGGTGTGTACCTTACGCATGCTCTCTGTCTGTTTTGTAGCTTATACTGTGTATATTGTATATCTCACTATTACCTCATATTGTATGTATTGCTTGTCTCGCTAGTTTACCTTATATATGTAGTCTGTTTGGGCATGTACTTATAGCTTAACATGCATACTTTCAATGTAATTTTCAATTACAAAATAATGCATACATAAATCTACCTTAGCAATTTGTTTCTGCAATAACCAAAAAATAAGATATATTCCCTGTTCCTTTCTGTACCATGAAAAAAAATTCCTTTCACTTTGCAGCAATTTTGGTGAAGCATTTTGAAACGTTTTGGGCACTGTATCAAACATGAGGATTATTTCTTATACTGTTAGCAAGATAACAGGCTTTGTAGCCCTGATGAATATACAGAGATACTGAACCTTAACAACTTAGGATCAGAAATGCAATAGGTAATTTTTTCTCCTACATCTAGTATAGCGCATTTCACTTTGAGTGGACATCCCAAAGCATTTCAAAGGATGTACTGTTCAGAGGATATACGTTTCACAGGATATACTGCAAAGTGCAGGAATTGTGTATTTTCTGGGCCAATCAGGCAGTTAATTTTGCACACTGCAATGACCCACAAACCATCAAGTGAATGACCAATTTTATTTGGTAGACTGTTGGCTGGGACACCAGGAGAAACTCCATTGTCTTTTCGAATAACGCTCTGGGATCTTGTACTGACAGACGGTCTAACAAATCATCCGAAGGACGGTATCTCCAACAAGCCCCGACTTAAACCCACAACGTTCTCAGGAGATGAGCGTGCTCGTAAATGAGCCAGGCTGACACACCTGTGTACAGTACCTCCAATAGGTTTAGAGATACTTCAAAAATAATGCTTTTAATGGTAGGCGAGAGACAATTGAACAGTACAATCCATTTTTCTTTCTGTTTAAGTTAAAACATGGTACCGAAGTTAGCTTCATTTTGTTGAGTTTTCCTGCCTAGTTTGCAGACTGGGAATAGGGGTGGGGATAGTATTTTAAAACAACAAGAGATTCCGTGAAAGTGCATCCCTGAATGGCTTTTCTTAAATCAATAAGATCTGAGTTTAGCTCCCGTGCCAGAGACAACAGTCAGCGTATTATATTTGTCACTGCACCATGTGCTGCAAGTGAAGCATGTAGGAGGCTTCAGGCCTTGAGAAATTGTGGACTTGCAGATCACAAAATTAACATTTCCTGCCAAACCAGTGATTCATTCTTAAACGGAATGGTAGAGTTTGCAGTGTGCAATTTCTACCACTAACTGCATGGGCCCTACATTGTTAAACACGATCCAATTTGCACCATTTAAATATTGTTATCGGCATATTGTTAAATAAACAGTGCATCGACAACAGGTGTTGAATTACAAATTGGAAGTGCCTATTGAGTATTAGAAATGCCGCCGCTTGTGCAAGACATCAGCCTTGAACACTTTAAAGACGTTCCCTATTTCATTGCAGTGAATTTCTAAACATCAAAGCAATCTGATCCCCTGGAAGTTGACTAACTTAATAACAATGATAATCCTTCCACTTAATAAAACGCCTTATCACGTCTTTGAGACGTCTAAGGTGAATTGACTGTATATTAAGTAGTAATTCTGCGCTTCATTTTCATTGAGGACAGAAACCACTGATATGTTGATTCAATCACAGATAATCTTTTGAAAACAAACCATTTATTTTTTAAGTGCAATATTCGACATTGAACAAAGCCCTAGCAGTCCCCCCATTGATGTAATAATAATCCTTGCATTTGATATAGCGCCTCATTACTTCTTCGAGGCATCTCAAAGCGTTTCACAGAATGTACTGTAAAGTGAATTGATTGTATATTTTGTGGGCAAAAGCATTTTTGCATGTATTCCAGCATTCTTTACCCCCTAGTTTATACATTTTCATTCAACAACAACAACAACAAAGTTACATTTGTAAAGCGCCTTTCACATTGGGAGGATGTCCCAAGACGCTGAACAGACAGAGTTTCGGACCCGAGCTGGGGGTCGGGGTTGGGGAGTGTGGATGGGATGCAGGGAGATCAAAAGCATGGTCTTGAGATGGGTCTTGAAGGAGGCAAGGGAGGGGTTGAACCGGAGGGACTGTGGGATGGGTTTCAGAGGGTGGGGGCAGAGTGGCAAAAGGCCCGTCCACCAATAGTGAGTCGAACGAGGAGGGGGACATGAATCAGGCCTGAGCCCACTGAGCGGAGGGAGCAAGCAGGATGATAGGGAGTTAGGAGGTCGCAGAAGTAGGGGGTAGCAAGACCATGGAGGGCTTTGAAGGTGAGGACCAGGATCTTGAACTGTATCCCACCATATAGAGAATACATGCAGATTGTTCAGGGTGAACGTAAGGTGCAACAGAGCCAGACCCATGAGGACCAGCTACCTCCTCTGAAAAGAGTTTTCCTTATTATAAAATCAAAAGGAGAAGCTAACAATTTTGCAACGACACAACACATCAGTCCATCTGGTGGAATGACAGCAAAGTGCAAGTCCTGGTTCATGCAAATGCCTCACACTCGAGTTCTGCATTACACAGCAATTCTCTAGAAGCGATTCAGTGCTTAAGATAATTCTGTAAATGTCACTGTTTTTTTTTTACAAAATAAGTTTAAAATAAACTTACCTGAAAGGCCTTAAGGTTACCAGGAACCTTCTCACCATTATTTTGCCATCTGAATTGGTCGAGTTTTTTGAGAGCAAAAACATCTTTCTGTTTCGAGAAGCCAAAAATATTACCTAGCCTAAAACTCGACGAGTGTCAAATGATTTCATTTTTCAATATCAGACCTCGTTCAGGATATGGATTTTGTAGATACCGGAATTTTCAAGTCAAAAGCAAATGAAATCCATCCACAAGTTTTGCTTTACTGGATTTAAAACCAATCTGCCAGGCTTCCCGTCTTCAGTGTGTCTCCTTGTTCAAGATGAAGTGATATAGAGATATATCTCCTGGTTCTATGGTGACTTTTTCAGGAAGTAGAGCTGAGTACAAGATGCAGATAGTCCACAATTAACTGCTAAACTAGAGTGAAGGAGACAGCAGGTAAGAAGCACCTTTGCTGCTTGAAGGATGCTTCCTCTCATGATCAGAGCTTGCTGCTATTCAGAGCTAGATGACTAAAGCATTGACACACTTAGGCAGAGCATCCTCACATTCCCTGAGGTTGTACTGATTTTTTTGTTCAGTCGACAGATCTCACACAATAACCTCAGCCGCCAACAACCTCAGCATTCAACCCTCAGGAGAAATAATTAGGGTTGGAGATAAAAGGCTGACTGACAGATCATAATCCAACCACGATAACTTGAATCCATCAACCTCCCCATACCAAGGCGGCTTTATTTCTTTCACAAAGCACAAGAAGCCACCCTAGAATGTTTCATAATCTGAAAATGGAGCTGCAGCATCACCTAGTGTTCTGAAGCAGTTTGTCGTTTACGCTTTTTAACTTTGTATTTTATTTAAGACAATAGATTCTTGCCCCACAACTTGGCTCTGGGCTAGTTTTATAGTGAGAATAATGCCATAATTATTAAAGGAAATACAGCATTTACAGATGTTCAAGGCATCAATTACACCTGAAAGAAATTCTGAAAATAAATACATATACGTTTATATTTCATCCAACTTGATCCAATAGATTCCTGGTTATTGCTGTGAAACGGTTTAATTTTGACAATTCTTTGTTCCTGTTAAATAGTAGCTGCTATATTATTATTATTACTAATTGCACAGTTCGAAATCTTCTCTAAGTTTGGCACCATACACTTCTGAACAAGTCACTTTATTTTGGTTTTTTACCAAAGCTATGTTCTTGATTATCTAAGACGTATAAATTCACTGAAATTCATTGTTATAATAATCATAATAATAATAATAATCTTTGTATTTGATATAGTGCCTGATCACTTTGCCGAGACTTGCAAAGCACATCATAGGATACACTGTAAAGTGGTTTTAATTGTATTTTGTGGGCGAAACATAGCAGCCAGATGTGCACATTAATATCCCACAAACAGCCTTAGAGTAAGTGAGCAATTTTATTTGGTGGAGTGTTGGCCAGGACACTGGGTAAAACTCGCTTCGCTTTCAAATAATCCCACAGGATGTTTAGCACCCACCTGAACAGGCAGATGGGATCTCGCTTTAACATCTCATCCGAAGGACAGTACCTCCAACGTTGTAACCCCCAGCACTGCACTGAAGCGTCAGCTTAGATTCTATGATCCCGAGCATGGGGGAGGGGTGGTGTAGGGGTGGGGGGAAGGCAGAGAGGTGGGAGGGCGACCAAAGGCACGATCGAAGAGAAGGGTCTTGAGACCGGGCTTGAAGGAGGCGAGGACGGAAGCGAGGCGAAGAGATCGTGGGATGGAGTTCCAGAGTGTGGGGTCAGAGAGGCCGATGGTAGGGCGGGTCAGGCGGGAGACATGGAGCAGACCGGAGCCAGCTGAATGGAGGGAGCGGACAATATTAGAACTACTTCAGACTCATTGTTGTTAGGAGGTGCTTCATCATCTGGATTCAAATTCATCTCCATATTGGTCCACATCCGCTCAGTTACCTCTGCCACTGCAACTACTACCGCCTCCCCATCTCCTCCTCCCACCCCAGCCCCTACCCACCCCTCCCTCCACACCTTTGAACCCGTCTCCCCTTCCTTTCATCACCACCATAACCCGTATGAAACCCACCACCTGTTCCCTGGATCCCAACCCTACCCCCCTCCTTACCGCCCAACTCCACCTTCTTACCCCTCTATTCACTGACATTGTTAACCTCTCACTGTCCTCTGGCACCCAACTCTACCTTTCTCCATCCTTGACTCCAGGATCACTGCTGTGCTGACAGAATGTCTGTCAGACATCAAGTCCTGGATGAGAGCTAACTTTCTTCAGTTGAACGTCAACAAGACCGAGGCTCTCCAGATTGGCTCCATCAGCATCTCCTCATCTCAGGCACTGACAGTATGGCCATCCATGGTTGCACACTCAACCTTGCTAAGCCAGTCCGGAGGTGGTGAGAGAGGTACGATCTGAACCAGTCAAGGACAGCGCCGTGGAGTTTGAGGTGAGAGGAGAGGTGGTGGATGAGGATAGAGTGGTCGACAGTGTCTAAAGCAGGGGTCTTGTTTGACCCTAAACTATCCTTTCTACCCAACATCTGCTCCATGACCTGCTCTGCCTTCCCCCACCTCCGCAGCGTCGCCCGGCTCCAACACTGTCTGACACCGCAGGCCACCAAAACCCTCATACACGCCTTCATTACATCGAGGCTCGGCTACGCAAACTCACTGCTTATCGCCCTCCCCAACTCCTCCCTCCACAGGCTGCAGATCATCCAGAACTCTGCAGCCCGTGTCCTCTCCCGCACTGGGCTCCGTGACTCTATCACCCCCATCCTCGCCCAACTCCACTGGCTTCCCATCAGACAGAGGATACAGTTCAAGATCCTGGTCCTCACCTTCAAAGCACTCCATGGTCTTCCTCCCCTCTACCTCTCCGACCTACGTAACCCCTACCATCCTGTTCGCTCCCTCTGCTCAGTGGGCTCTGGCCTGCTTCACGTCCCCCTCCTTGCTCGTCTCACTATCAGCGGGCGGGCTTTCTGTCACTCTGCACTCACCCCCTGGAACTCCATTCCGCAGTCCCTCTGCATCACCCCCTCCCTCGCCAACTTCAAGACCCATCTCAAGACCCTCCTCTTCGACCGTGCTTTCGATTTCCCTGCTTCCCCCCCTCCCCCACCCTGACCCTCAGCTCGGGTCCGGAACTCTTGGGACGTCCTCCCGACGTGAAAGGCTCTATACAAATGTAATTTTGTTGTTATTGTTGTTGTTGCAGCTTCATTGCCCCTGAATATAATGAGGAAAGGCTGGGAATGCCTGACCATTATACACAATATTCAGTGGCCTCTCGTTCTGTTATCTGAAATCATTTATTTGTGCTTTGAATGCCTTGTGCAGGATATCGCCCTTTTTCTTAAAGATGCTCCTACCCCTGATGTGGAGGCTATGGGTAACTACTGTAAGGTTCACCAGAAAGACACTTTACCCAACACAGGTGGAGTGGATAGCAAATCTTTTAATAGCATACACAATTCAAAGGTTAATGCTTTAACACATACAATTATTATATCGTTAAGTTACACTAAAGCAGTAAGATTCAACAAAACCCATATTACCAGTTTCCATTGGGGAAGTCGCTGACCACCAGCCGCCTCACAACTGTTCCTCCTTTGATGATTCCAACTATTCCAAAGTTACATCTTTCTTTTACGTGTTTCTAACTCCATTTCCCCTTGTCACAGAGATAGCCCCCACACCCTTCACAGGCTGCTTTGCAGAGAGAGAGATACAGACAACTTCTGGGCAGCCTCCCACAGCCGCTTGTATCTCAGCCTTGAGATAGGCAGGTGTCTGAGGCTGCAGCCTTTTCTTTCTGTGGTTCTTTGTTCTTACATCTTTGCTCAAGGACCCAATGGCTCATTATCTCAGAGGGGTGAACATCTTCCCAGGAAAGTATGGAATATAATCAGAAGCTAACCTCAACCCGTCCAGCAAAGCTACTTTTAGCCCCTGCTATGCTAGTCATTAAATCAAACAAATCTTATTAAAGGATTATGGGTAGGTTACATTCTAAACGTATATAAAGATTAATTAAAAGCCTTTAAAAACATTAAACATCACATATAATCTTACACTACTAGGGAGAGTAATTTGGATGGGGTTGTCGTCGCTTCTAAAAATTTGTGGTCTTGCTGTTCAGAGCAATTTTCACTACTGACCAATGCATTCCTCTCGTGCAAATGAGCAGTCAATTCACTTTACAGTATATTCTGTGAAGCGATTTGAGACGTCTCAAAGTCGTGATAAGGCGCTATATCAAATGCAAGGATTATTATAAACAAAATGGCAATACTACAACCCTGAGACGAACAAACTATTTACGTGAGAGGCGTGCTGCCACCTCCTGGAAGTTATAAAACATTCTTTAATTTTTTTATCCATTGCAGATTGTACCCCCATGACATCGATGAGAATTAAACAGGGATATGTAGTTAGTAAGAGTCACCTCCTCATTATACATTATACATTATAGAAATGTATTGTTTCAATGATACACAAGCAATATTTTCTCTGTCCACAACATTATATCTTTAATCCATTCAGTCCCCATGGCAGAAGTGTGCATAGGTCATGTGTTTGGAGAATGTGATTATAATGGTATTACTGGCATATCTTAATGGTATCATAATAATGTTTTGCCTTTGGTGTAGCCTTACCATGTTATAATGTTTCAAAGTGTTTTTTCGTGAAAAGTGTAACTGTCATGAAATGTGTAGTGATTGTGCATGTAGGAAAATGTGGCAGGCATTATACACAGAGCACGCCAAATTCCTCCTATCACTAATATGTGACTCTTTAGTGATATCTAAATAATAGGAATAGAGCTCCCATCTTCCTTTATAGAACCAGACACTCATTATAGAAATGTGCCCCCTATGAATCTTTTATTGGTAGTGGCTTAATCAAGAACGCTTAAGATTTGAGTATCCCCGAAACACTACTTGCATGAAGGGCACTATATATATATATATATATCTGACTGTAAAGTGAATTGACTGTATATTTGTGGGCGAACGCGGCAGCCAATTGCGCACAGCAGTGTCCCACAAACAGTCGTGGATATATATAAATCGACTGTTTTATATATATGAATATATATAAGTCGTGGATATATATAAATGCAAGTTGTTGTTCATTTGAAGCTTTGCATCCTGACGTTTTGATCTCAAATGTTGACATATCAAAGAAACATACACCAATCTGGGGAATTATAATTCACCATGTTATGTATTATTTAAAATGTCCCAACGGCACAGTGATACTAATTAATCACTGGTGGTCATTTATCACTAATGTATTAATCAATCAATCAATGGTGCATAAATTGGTTTGAGGAGACTCTTCAACCTTGGAGTCCATAAAACAACAAATCTTGGTACAGAGTCAAGGAAGCTAAAATTGATTTTTAATCTAATCTGTCAGCAGTTCAGTGTTTCTTTGGACCTCTGGTCCATGTGAATGGCAACAAAGGTCCATTTAAAAAAAATGCTTCGAAGACTGTGTAGCAAGGAGCATCTACAACGTAAACCCTTTGGAGCCTCTGGGTGGTTTAGTCCATGTACCACTTTCTTGTTGGTCGGTTGGGTATCTGACACATATGGAAACCCATTACTATGCTTAAGAGTACCCCATCCAAACTGAGAATTCCACTTACATCCCACCTACACGTGGAAATCCAAGAGAGATTGTTGGAATAGAACGCACACTTTGTCTCTGGAGCGACACATCTGCTTACCTAATTCTGGAAAGTATTATGTGCAGGTTGGAAAGAGCCAAGGGGACCCCAGAGTGTGTGTTGACTGCTGGAGTCTAACCAGCTAAAACCTCATAACTTGCCATTGATATCGCTGTCCGGCAAGTTTTCCCGCTGCGTATGAAGCTTGGACCACCCTACCCGTAAGGGCTTTGGCTTGCAGTTAACAGGAGCTGAGTAGGAGGATTCCCTACCCCCATTGAATGGCCTGTCCATCCAGGTCCTGCTGATGAGCGCTCTGGGATACTAACCTGTGTGAGGGGCTACATAAACGCAAATTGTTGTTGGTGGTGTTCATAAGAATTCTCTCCCCTAAGGGACCATCCTCAAATGAGTTCAATTTAGTGAGGGTTGTGGAATTATTTTGGGGGGGGAATGAAAATGTGTGGGGGGTATGAAAATTTTGAGGGGGGCATGAAAATGTGTTTCCCACAGCTCAAACTGAGGCCTTGGGGATGTATGTGTTTGTAGAGTTTTATCCCACATTCCGTTTATCTCACTCCCTCCCTTGCCTCCTTCAAAGTACGTCTCAAGACCCACCTCTACGTCCGCACATTCGGCCACCCTCCTACCCTTATCTTCCTTGCCCTCTACCCCCAGCTCGGGTCCCAATCCTTGACTGTCCAGCGCCTTGGGACATCCACCTAACGTGAAAGGCGTTGTGTAAATATAACTTTATTGTTTATTTATACTTTATAAATAATAATACTGGCATTTGATATAGCGCCTTATCACGTCTTTGAGACGTCCCAAAGCGCTTCACAGAATATACTGTAAAGTGTACTGTGTTCAGTTTTGGGCACCACACATACCTCAGGAAAGATATATTGGCCCTGGAGGGGGTGCAGCACAGCTTCACCAGAATGTTACCAGGCCTAAAAGGTTTAAGTTGCAAGGAATGGTTGTGTAAACTTGGATTGTATTCCCTTGAGCTTAGAAGGTTGAGGGGTGATCTGATTGAGGTGTTTAAGATGATAAATTATGGGCAGTTCTGGTCCCACATTATAGAAGAGATGTAGAGGCGCTTGAGAGGGTGCAAAGGAGATTCACAAAGATGATCCCAGAACTGAGAGGTTATACCTATCAAGAAAGGCTGAACATGCTCGGACTCTTTTCTCTTGAAAAGAGGAGGGTAAGGGGTGACCTGATAGAGCTCTTTAAAATGATGAAAGGTTTTGATAGGGTCGACATAAGGAAGATGTTTCCACATGTGGGGGAGACCAAAACCAGGGGCCATCAATATAAAATAGTCACAAATAACAACAAGATTACATTTGTATAGTGCCTTTCACGTCGGGAGAACGTCCCAAGGCGCTGGACAGAGTACAGCATTTCAGACTTGAGCTGGGGTCGGGGGGAGGAAGGGAAGGGAGGAGAAGGGGGTGGCCAATGGCATGTTCGAAGAGGAGGGTCTTGAGGCAGGACTTAAGGAGGCTAAGGAGGGGGTGAGCGGAGTGACTGGAGGATGGAATTCCAGAGGTTGGTGGCAGAGTGGCTGAAGACTCTCCCGCCAATGGTGGGCCGGGTGACGTGGAGTAGGCCGGAGCCGGCTAAGCGGAGGGAACGGGCGGGTTGGTAGAGGATTAGGAGGTTGCAGAGGTAGGGTGGGGCGAGGCCATGGAGGACTTTGTATGTGAGGACCAGGATCTTGAACTGGATCCCCTGAAGGATAGTGAGCCAATGGAGTCGGGCGAGAGTGGGGGAGATGGGGTCACGGAGTTTGGTGCGGGAGAGGACACGGGCTGCAGAGTTCTGGATTATCTGCAGCCTGTGGAGGGAGGAGTTGGGAAGGCCGACAAGCAGAGCGTTTGCATCGTCGAGCCCGGAGATGATGAAGGCATGAACAAGAGTTTCAGCGGCCTGAGGGGTGAGGTAGTGGCGGAGTTGGGCGATGTTACGGAGCAGAAGGTTATGTTGAAGGTTTAGTTGAGGAAGGGCAGGAGGAGGCTCATGTGGAGCATAAACACACCGGCATAGAGCAGTTGGGCTGGAATGGCCTGTTTCTGTGCTGTATGTAGCTCAGTGGTTAGAGCACTCGCTTTGCAAGCGAGAGACCTGAGTTCAATTCCAGGCAGAGGGCGAAACCTTGGGCAAGTTTCCTTACTCCACACAGAGCCTAATAATAATCCCTCCAAAACCAAAACCAATAATAAAATTGGTCATTTTCAATCCACGACTGTTTGCGGGGACGCTGCTGTGCGCAATTGGCTGCCGCGTTCGCCCACAAATACACAGTCGATTCACTTTACAGTCTATTCTGTGAAGCGCTTTGGGGGGACGTCGAGAAGACATGAAAAGCGCTATATCAAAAATGCAAGGGTTACGATGATTAGCTAATCGGCTCGAATGCAAAGAGGTGCGATCGGGTAGACGCAGAGAAGCTATTTCCTCCGGTGGGGGGAATCCAAGGCCAAGACCGGGGTGGGGGCGTAGTCTGAAAACTAGAGCCGGGACCGTTTAAGAGTGAAATGAAGGATGGGGGGTGGGGGGGTGGGGGGTAGAATAGAAGTCACCATCACGGGCGGCCGGGCCTTCCGCCACTCCGCCCCACCCCACCCCGCAGTACCCTCCGCCCCCTCCCTCCCTCCCTCGCCACCTTCAAGACCCTCCTCTTCGACCAAACATGCCTTGGATCTCCCTGCTCCCCCCTCCCCCACACACCCCCCCCACCCTCCCCGCCCCCGCCCTCCCGCTCGGGTCCCTGACCCCCCCACTTGTCCAGCGCCTCCGGGGGACGTCCTCCTTACAAATATAACGTTGTCGTCGTCGTCGTTGTTGTTGTTGTTGGTCGAGGCGCAGACCATCCGTGGTCTTAATTAATCGAAGGGCTCTCCTCCTGTGTAGTGACTGTGTATTGTGCGGGAGGGCGGGTCAGTAACATCGAGGAGGGAGGGAGGGAGGTAAAGGCTGTGGCTTACGTGGCCGACCGACCGGTGGCGAGTGACCGGCCGCCGCTCCACCGTCCGGTCCCGTCCCGTTCCCCCTCGTGGCCCCGCCTCCCGATTCAAACTTTAACGGCTGTGACCAAAGTGTGCGCCCGGAACTTTTCTCGGGCTCCACACCGCTCGGGGAGGGGGTGTGGGGGGGGGGGGAAGGGACCAACGGTTACTCACACACAAGCCTCGGCTTCCTTCCGGTCGGCGGGAGCGGGAGCGGCCTCGGCCTCGTGAGGTGACCTGTGCTGAGGGATGGCCGCCGGGAGGGAGGGAGGGAAGCGGCCGCGGGTGTTTGTGTCGCCCCCGCCGCCGGGTCACAGGTTTATATATATTTTTTTAAGGTTGGAGTGAGTTTCTTTTTAATTCATTTTTTATAAAAGTAAATGACTGTGGGTTCTCGGTGCCGTCCAAAGCCGCTCTCTGGATCTGAAGGATGGGGGTTCTCCCCCCCCCCACCCCCCGCGCCTCTCCTCCCTCCTCTCCCCCTTCATTCCCCTCCTCTTCCCCCTCTCTCCTCTCTCACCTTCCCTCCCCCCCTCTTCCTCCAATTCCCTCCCCCTCTTCCTCCTCCCTCTCTTGTCTCTCTCCTCCTCCTCTTCCTCCAATTCCCCCTCTCCCCCTCCTCTCCCTCCAATTCCCCCTCTTCCCCTCCTTTCCTCCAATTCCCCCTCTTCCCCTCCTCTTCCTCCAATTCCCCTCCCCCTCCTTTCCTCCAATTCCCCCTCTTCCCCTCCTCTTCCTCCAATTCCCCCTCCCTCCCCCCTCCTCCAATTCCCCCCCCTCTCCCCTCCTCCAATTCCCCCTCCCTCTCCCCCTCCTCTTCCTGCAATTCCCCCCCTCCCCCCTTCCACTTTCCTCTCTCCCCTCCCCCTGTCCCCCTCCTCCGCTCCCCCACTGAGCTACAGGACTCCACACTGTATTTCCCTATAAATACACAGTCACTACATTTGGCAGCAATTACCTCAGTGGATGAAAGATTATTAATATCCGGGAATTTTATGGTACAAAACCCTTGGATACAAAATAGTTTATAATGTGTTCCACTTGCTTCCTCCAGCTTGATGCTGGATTCTATAAACTTGTTTTTTTTTCAAAATGTGGGTAGTGCATCAGTTGAGTATTATCCAATGATAGTTATTCTCTCCATTTTGTCCCGTTCCTTCCTCATGAAGATGCTGACTCACGCTGAGGTACAGTTTCATGCTACCCGTCTGTACCACAGCCACCGTTCCATGGATGCCATCTTGTCCCTTGTACTTCGCCCAAGTGGCCGTTCTTCATGTTTGACTTTGGATGGTAAGTCTCGACAGGCTTTCCAAATGAAGAGCATTGCAGGGAAATCAGATCATGTCCACATCCATGTGCTTTTTCAGATGGGACACTGGACAAACGTTGGGGTCAGGAATCCCTTTTTCCCTTCCTAATTCAGGGACACTAAAGCCAATAGTACTGCCCCAAATGTCACCTATAGATTCTATTTTGATATTGATGTTTTTAAGAATAAATCACCTGTTTCAGCAGGTTACTCATTGAATGGTAGTTTTTTTAATCACCGGGCAACTGGAGCCAATACCACTGTTTGGATTACATTTGTGCTTTCTTTTGATGATTTTCTCCACAGATATGTTTTTTTTGGATTTGCGGGCGTATAGGTTTTACTTTCGTAAAATTCCTCGCCCTAAAATTTGTATAACGTGGTACTAAATAGTGTATACTTAAAATTTGGAATGATCTGGATTTTAATGGAGCTGGCACATGTTTTGTCAGCACCTCTTAAAGATTAACTCTCAAAATTTATCTTTTAAGCGATTAATCTTCAGGTTCTGTCTGCAGAATGATGATAACCAGTAGTACTGTAGATGAAATATGGTCGAGGAAAATGCTGTTGGGTTTCACTACATATTCAGCAGCTTCAATCTTGACCTAGATGAACGAAGCTAAGCGACTAAGTTTACTTGGCAGTAACAGGTGTGAACATCTTACAAGTCGTGATGCTCATGTATAATACTGCATACAAAACCATTCTAATCCCCTTGAGGTATTTTAGTTTTACATTTCTCATCATCTTAAGTCAAATGCCCTTATAACTGCATTATTTATGCTTCTCGGAACTGGTCCAGGATCATATTTTCCCTTCAACCTTCATTATCTATCGAGATATCGAGATTGCCCATTTTGGCAATAATAATAAAAATCCTTGCATTTGGCATAATGCATTCGAGAGGTCTCAAAGCGCTTCACAGAATATTCTGTAAAGTGAATTAACTGTATATTTTGTGGGCAAAACTAGCAACCAAACAAGCTAGTACAGAGCAACCCTGTATTAATGCTGTGGTCGAGTCCATAAGCTGAAACCTCCACATTAAAAGAGTGAAAAATGTTCACTTCAGGTCATCAGTGGGTTGAATTCACTTCCGGTCCTTGCTGTGCATAGGTTGAATACATGATGTGCAGGAAGTGATTTCAGCGATCACTTCCCACAAAGACATCAGTGATGACCTGATAAGCCAGAACCCTGTGGCCATTCTTTTTTTAGCAGGGGAAGCGAAGCTGTCAGGACTAGAAGATGGGTGTGCTGTACTTCTGATATAACAGGGTCCACAGTGCTATTAGCAAACCTGTGCTATATCAGGAAACTTTATAATCCTATGTGGGGAATCCATTTCTTTAGCACTCTTATTTATTATGGGAACTGTGGTGTATTTGATAGTAATCTCAGGTCAATATTTAGATTCCAGTATAAAACTGCGGCATGATCGGCAGGCAAAATGTGGTGTGAGTAACAGGTGCAATCATCTTAGCTACTGAGGTCACCTTGAGCAATTTGTTCCAGCAGCACTTAAATTTAAACTGCTGAATTATAAACGGATCAGCTGCACATCAGCTGTGGCTTAAAAGTTTGGGGTTGTCTACTGGAGCATTTATTCATGTTATTAAGAACCTGGTTGTGCACATGCAGAATTCTCCTGAGCCCTTTGCCAATGTAATGAGCTATGGGAAGAGCAGAACCACCTTCCCCGCTGTATTACTCCTAACAACACCAAGATTACATTTGTATACATGTTTGAACAGGGTGGGAATTTTTTTGTGGTAAGTTGGAGGGTCATATTTTATATTTTAAATATTTCCCAACACTTCTTAATATTCTAGAATGTATGGTACCGTTTACCCTGCAACTGCAAATATTTAGACTTTTAATACTACTCTGTATAAGTCTATGTAAATATCCAAATGATTGCGGAGTGGAGGCTTCAAGGTTTGGCAATTCAAAACTTTATAAATTTCTGTCAGTAAATATATATTTCACTCAACTATGGATTGCAAGTTTAATGGAGTGTTTTAAATCAGTTCTGCTTCAGGAGTCATTAAATGGAATGGCTGACCAATTTGTATTGGATAATGTAAATTTCCTTAATTTAGTGGATTTGGTTTTAAAAGTACTGACGTGTTCTTTCCATTTAAATGTTGCTGTCGGAAGCTAAAAGCTGTATTTATGGCTTCCATTAATCTTGCATGGGTTTTTAAACGAGCAAACTTAATCCTTATATAAGTAATGCTTTATGATAGTTCCTTCAGTTTTTGAATGCAGGAACTGATTTGAATTTTCTAAAATGAATTGTATGTGCACACCATACTGGAATTATTGAGCTATTTTGATGAAGTCTTGTTCTGCAATTGGTGCTTGAGTTGAAAGCCTCGTTCTCTGTAATTCAAGCATGAAATCGTTTTATATAGTGTAATGGGTTACTTTGCCTTTTGCAGCGCTTCCCTCCCTTTTCAGGTCTCATCAATAAGCACATCATTAGTATACGTTTTAAGACAGATTAGACCTTTTGCACCAAGGTTAAAACACACTTAAGATAAGTAGAAACAGGCCTCTTATCCAGCTAGAAGGGTAAGTGTGGAGGGAATTTATCTAAAGCCTCTTACATTATTAATAATAATGCTTGATTTGATATAGTGCCTTATCACGTCTTTGAGACGACTCAAAGCGCTTCACAGAATATACTGTAAAGTGAATTGACTGTATATTTTATGGGCGAATTGCCGCAGCTAATTGCGCGCAGCAGTGTCCCACAAAGAGTCGTGGATTGAGTGACCAATTTCTTATTTTATTTGAAGGAATTATTACACCTGGAAAAGTGATCCGCCAATCGACTAACAACCAGGTTTCTTCTTACTGCAAGGCAAACAGGCTTGTGGAGTAAGGAAACTTGCCCAAAGTTTTGCCCTTCAGGGAATCGAACCCAGGTCTCTCACTTGTGAGGCGAGTGCTCTAACCATTGAGCTACAGAACTCCATTAACTGTCAGTGTTTCATGCTGATATTCTGCAATATTCTGTTTCCTCAGCATTAACGTTCCTCAAGTCATTAAACATATCATTGAACAGAAATCTAAATGGCATAGAAATAAATCTCACCCATGTACGTTGATGCAGCTTATTGGAAATCTTGAAAACTCTATTTTGAAAACCCAAATACCTTGATAGGCACAGGAAATAGTGCAACCACCTACACCTGTCTTGCAACTGAAAAAAAGTGCTTTAAATGCTCAATCGATTGTAGGTAGATGATAAGGTTAACAGGTTTTCTTTTGCTTCCAACAGATATATAGATATGCTTGAGTTAAGCAATTGAATATGAATGGGAAGGAAACCTGGATTGAAAGTAAGATTCATTTGACACCTTAAATACCACATTTTGTGAAATTTATTGAGAGCAGACTTACACAAATAAATGGTCCCGAGTTTTATATCTAATTCAGTGATTTTCTTATTTAGGAAAATGATGATCTATAGTTTTCTCCTGGAAGCCTGTGAATCATAGATACCCCTCCCATTAGGGCACAGGGTGCTGGCACCAAGTGTATGTAGCATCCCAACTCAAATTGGTTAAGTAAACAGAAACCAGTGACCCTTACGAGTCTCTGGCTTAACGTTGTACTACGATAGCTGAAATTTAATTACTATAATGGGTCCGAGAAATGCAGTACTTCGTGAAATCTTGAAGTACTTAATTATTTTCTGGAAAAAAAATCATTGTAGAGGTATAATTCTTCCTGATGCATCACCAACCCCAATATTGTATGTAGGCCACTTTATTATGTGAGGCAGAGTCCCAAAGCACTTGTAATTCTTAGTTTCAGATTGCACAAGCTGAATCCATGGGTGTGATGATTAAAACCTGGCTTGGATAACATTTCATTGCATTCATTATGCAGTGCATTGAGCTTGAGTGTCATTTGAACTATATCATTATATGAAACATACATCCAAAGGATCTCCTGTGGTTTGTGGAATAGTTGTTTTTTTTGATGCGCAAAAATGAACAATTTTTATCCTTTATCCTTACAGGAAGGTGAAGAGAGGTCAATCACATTGCCAGGTGCGTTAATGGTAGGTCAAAAAATCGGTTTAGAAAACTACAATGCAGCGTGAGTAAGGTGCTATTCTTTACAAATTGTGACTTGTCTTAATAATTCCTGCCCACTAGCCTACACGCACACCTATCCATCAAGTATGATGGCACACATTTCATGCTGAGTTGTGGTCGTAGCTGGACAAGCAGTGGGACGCTTGCCAAATGGTGTTTTCAATGGCAAACTCTGCGGATTGAGATGGTTCAATCACACATCAATGGCAACTCTTAAGTGGAAACCCAGCACAGATACTCCAGCCTCAAATGTAATCAAGGAGAAACTCCAGAAAGTTCATCATTAGCACCACTATTGAAAGCAAGCCTTTGCCTCTACATACAATTTTTCCAGTAGGACTAGAAGCATAGAAATTGTTTTCCTGTGGGGAAAAAAATGTCCATATGTCCTCCAGCACTACACAAGATTCCTGCCCAATAATTGTTGAAGGAGTTAATGAGTGCAGTATCAATTGTTTTTGCTTGGAGTCTGTTCCACATATACAGAGCTCTTTTGTGTGTCTGCATGTGTTTTAGGTTAATTTCAGAATGTGAGGACACATTCTGATCTTAATTGATTAGGATATTTTTCTTCACATTTACAGCTGCATAATCATAAGTATGCTTAATCAGGAAATTTATGAATTTGAGAACCTAATGCTCTGTTTATTTTCAGACTAATAGTTGGGCTTGTAAGCAAACAAGTGAATTGAAACAAGTATATGGCAGCTTTACCTGTGAAATTCAGAATATTTATTTCAATTGCTGGTGGGAGTTCAGCTAAAAAAAAACGACAATTGTGTCTTCCTTTCTTTTTCCCTCGTCTGAATAAAATTTGGCATCTCTATGTATGTTGCAGGAACAGTCTATCTTGAATATAACCTCCATTAAATTGTTTACCTCATAATAAATATGCTAAAACATTACTGTGTTTTCATTTTTATCTGGAATTGAATCTTCATTTAAACTTCACCACACCCCAAATTCAAGCTTTTTATAAGATCGCCGTTTCCTGTCTCAAGTTTCCTTTCACAATGCTTTAAATGATAATATAACAACTATTTTTGCACTTGTACTATAAAATGTCATTGAAAAGCTGTTCATACTATCCAGTTTGTCACATTTAAAGTGAAAATGATCTAGACTGGGTGAAGTTTATTTTCAGAAGTAATACTAATATAAACATTTTTAAGTATACCTAATATATAATGTCATTGTATCACATAGTCAAACCCAGATCCTAAGTTGGTGTTTTTTTATTTACTGATGCAATAGGTAGCACATCCGAGTTTGTCGTGAAAAATCATATGGAGCAATGTCTCCTCTCGTCCTGATAAATGGCCCAAGTATTTATTCTGAGATGTTTTGACACTGCAAGGGGAAGATGGTTGGATGAAGACTCTGGAAGAACGAGATCAAAACCCTTCGAGTTTACAGCTCAAACACAAGTCCTATCTGATCATGCTGTTTGTAGGACACCGCTGTCTGCAAATTTGCCATTAAATACAGCAAATCCTGTGATGTGCTTCGGGGCATCTCAGTGACATCATTAATAGGCAATCCTCAATGATTGAGTAACAATAAGTGAAATTGTGCCTCAGCTTTTAAAAAAAACAAAATAAACATAAGGGGATTTGAGTTTTAAGATTGGCAGCACTTGTCTTTTGAGATTCAGGTGACTGGAGACCAATCCTTGAGAGACTGATTATACCGCAGATGAGAGATGACTCAGTTGTGGTTGCAGCAGACTGACGCTCCTTCCTCGGTCTATGTTTTTCTTCCATGGCAATCTTAGCTTGTTCAAAATCATTAACATTCTGCCTACGTAGGAATCGCCACACTTTGCGGTCTTTGGAGGATTCCTCCTTTGGTGTCAATTTTCTCAGGTTGGATTTCAAAGAATCTTTATTTTTTCTGGCCGCCAACACTTCTTTGGGCAGAGCTCAGTTCAGAATATAGTCGTTGTTTTGAAAGTCTGGAGTCCTCCAATCGGCATATGTGACTAGTCAACAACAACTTGGATTTATATAGCGCCCTCCACGCCGGATGGCGTCTCTAGAGCGCTTTTATAGTTTTGGATCCTGAGGCTGACCAGGGGGAGGGGGGGGGGGGGGAAGGTGACCAAAGGTGCGGTCGAAAAGAAAGGTCTTCAGCAGAGACCTGAAAATGGGAAGGGAGGGAGCGAGACGAAAGGAGTGAGGAAGGCAGTCCCAGAGCCTCGAGGCATAGTGGCTGAAGGCACGGCCGCCGAGGGTGGAGCGGAGGATTCGGAGGACAAGGAGGTCAGGCCCGGAGGAACAAAGGAAACAAGTGCTGTTTTGAGGAAAGAGGAGGTCAGAGAGGTTGGGATGTGCAGAGGAGTGCAGGGAAGTTGGGCTTTAACCATAGGTTCAAAACAAACAAACTTTAGACAAATAATTTTGAAAAACACATTGTTTTTGCAATCATCACAGCAAATTTGAAGGATTTTAGGCCAGGAACGTAGGTAGAAACGATCAAAAGTTTCAAGGTGACTTCTCTAAGTAACCCAGGACTCAAAGCCATAGAGCAGGGTTGAAAGAACTATGGATTTGTAAACCATGATTTACGAGTGACACTACATCGAGTGCTAGGATTGTTATTATTCCTGTCAATATTTCAGCAGTAATCATTCCCTTGCTTTTCACCGGTCTTTTTGAAATTTATTGATTTGAGTTTATCCAACTAAGCGGTGTAGCTCCATTATATGCTTGCTCTACTTGCTAACCGTTTCTGCCTCATGTGCTTTCCGTGAGATCGGCAGAAACAGCGACTGTGTGGAGCCAAACGCAACACGGCATTGCTGAATTGAGGGCAATCTCAAATGTATTTCTTCCAAGAATGCCTTGTTCCGGAATCCACACCCATCTTCTGCGTTGCAATCTGACTCAATTTCACAGAAAATTAATGCGTGCGATCAAACTTCAAAATGCTTTCAGAGCAAAACGAACTGAGGAGGGTGGTTTCAAATTCCGATAAAGGGATGGATGAGGCAAAACGAGTCTAAACCAGATACAGTAGTTTTGAAAGAAAAGCAAGGGTTGAAGACAATGGTAAAACACATATGTAGCAAATTAAACAATAATATTAATAATCCTTGCATTTGATATAGTGCTTTTCACGTCTTCTAGACGTCCCAAAGCGCTTCACAGAATAGACTGTAAAGTGAATTGACTGTATATTTGTGGGCGAACGCGGCAGCCGATTGCGCGCAGCAATGTCCCAAACAGACCAACAAACAAACAGAAGAGAGTAGGCGGAGGGAATGAGTGGGATAACACTAACTCACTATCAAGTGTTGCACGTGAATGCACAATGCATTCAAAATGGTGGAATAAAGATGCATTCCTTAATAAAGAATCAAATTAGCAAAGTCAGTGTGTGGGTGGGTGGAGAGGCCTGAATTATGACGTAGGAGAGTGAAAAATACGCATTGTATTGACTGCGAGTAGATCAGTTCTATGTCAGTCTTACGCATACTGTTTCTTGGCACTGGATAATTGCAATTACTTTTGCTTTGATGTTTTGACAAATGCAGCTTGGAATCAAGGCGAAGACTTTTTTTTCTTTCTATGATCTTTTAATATCGGTTGATCGCAGGGCAGAACAAAACTGACCTGGCCTTTTGAGAACGTCGATCGATGTATTTGTGCAGAAAATGGTTCCTCTTATTAATTTTAAGGAAAACCATCCCACGGGAAAACGTCTTGCATGTTTTCATTCAGACCAGTGTGTGCTTCCCACAGTGACATTTCTGAGATATTTATAATGCCAATATTTATTTCAGCAGAAATAGCAGCAAAAATGTGTCGCCTACTCGCTTTGCTGTAAAATAAAAACACAGAATTCTGCAAATCTGCCAGGACTTTGGACACATTGTGCTATTGTCAGATGGGACTATCAATGAGGCTCTCTAACCCAATAAAGAGGGGGGTGGAGGAGCTGTGCATGCAGTGTGTGTGTGTGTGTGGGGGGGGGGGGGGGGGGGGGCAGCTGTGTGTGTGTGTTGGGGGGGGGGGGGGGGGCAGCTGTGTGTGTGTGTGGGGGGGGGGCAGCTGTGTGTGTGTGGGGGGGCAGCTGTGTGTGTGTTGGGGGGCGCTGTGTGTGTGTGTTGGGGGGGCAGCTGTGTGTTGGGGGGGCAGCTGTGTGTGTGTTGAGGGGGGGCAGCTGTGTGTGTGGGGGGGGGCAGCTGTGTGTGTGGGGGGGGGGAGCTGTGTGGTGTGTGTTGGGGGGCAGCTGTGTGTGTGTTGGGGGGGGGGGGGCAGCTGTGTGGTGTGTTGGTGGTGGGGGGGGGGAGTTGTGTGTGTGTGGGCTGTGTGTGTTGGGGGTGGGGTGTGTGTTGGGGGGGGCTGTGTGGTGTGTTGGGGGGGGCTGTGTGGTGTGTGGGGGGGGGCTGTGTGGTGTGTGTTGGGAGGCGGGGCTGTGTGGTGTGTGGGGGGGCGGGGCTGTGTGTGGTGTGTGTTGGGGGGCGGGGCTGTGTGGTGTGTGTGGGGGGCGGGGCTGTGTGTGGTGTGTGTGGGGGGGGGTGTGTGGTGTGTGTTGGGGGCGGGGCTGTGTGTGTGGTGTGTGGGGGGGCGGGGCTGTGTGGTGTGTGTTGGGGGCGGGGCTGTGTGGTGTGTGTTGGGGGCGGGGCTGTGTGGTGTGTGTTGGGGGGCGGGGCTGTGTGTGGTGTGTGTTGGGGGCGGGGCTGTGTGGTGTGTGTTGGGGGCGGGGCTGTGTGGTGTGTGTGGGGGGCGGGGCTGTGTGTGGTGTGTGTTGGGGGCGGGGCTGTGTGGTGTGTGTTGGGGGCGGGGCTGTGTGGTGTGTGTTGGGGGCGGGGCTGTGTGTGTGTGTGTGTTGGGGGGCGGGGCTGTGTGGTGTGTGGGGGGCGGGGCTATGTATGTGTGCGTGTGTTGGGGGGCGGGGCTGTGTGTGTGCGTGTGTGTGAGACGTGCTGAGTCCGCTCTGACGTCACACAGCAGCCGGCGAGGCTGAGACGCGCAGGCGCAGTGGCCAGTCGGTGGCTCGGGGGCCGCAGTCACTGGCGTCGGGGTCTATCATCCGTTTGTGTCACAGTGTACGTCGGTGCGGGAGACATCCGGAGACGGGACAGTGAATGAACGGTGGGTGCAGTGGGTGGTGTTGGGGACCTACATTTTGAGGCGGAGGGAGTGGGGGGGGTTAGCGGAGGAGGAGAGACCGGGGTTTAGGCCGCGACAGCGATGGCGTCGGTGGATTCAAAATTCAAGCACTAACGGCCGCCGGCGCCCCGAGGGAGAGAGAGCGCGGTGTTTTGAAGGCGGCGGCGGCGGCGGCGGGGGGGGCGCCCTTTGGTGTGAGGGGAAGGAGAGAGGCGCCGCCCGTCCGCCCGCCCGCCTCGGGGGGTACAGGGGAACATCGCGGTCGCTCGCTTTATTTTGAACCCCGGGGTGTTTGTTGTTGTTGTTGTCAGCAGCCGGCGGCGGGTGTCGGACGGCAACTGCCTGTCACCGACCAGCAGCTCTCCTCTTCTCTCCCCCCCGCCCACTCTTCTTCCCCTCTTCTCTTCCCCCCGCCCCCTCTTCTCTCCCCCCCCCTTCTCTTCCCCTCTTCTCTCCCCCCCTCTTCTCTCTCCCTCTTCTCTCTCCCTCTTCTCTCTCCCCCTCCCCACTCTTCTCTCTCCCCTCCCATCCTCTCTCCCCCTCTTCTCTCTCCCTCTCTCTCTCCCCCTCCCCCTCCTCTCCCCCCCACTCCTCTCTCCCTCCCTCTTCTCTCTCCCCCCTCTTCTCTCCCCCCCCCCCCCTCTTCTCTCCCCCCCCCCCCCCCTCTTCTCTCCCCCCCCTCTCCCCCCCCTTCTCTCCCCCCCACTCCTCTCCCCCCCTCTTCTGCCCCCCCCCCCGTCTCCCTCCTCTCTCTTTCTTCCCTCTCTTCCCCCTCCTTTCTTCCCCCCCCCTCTCCCTTTTGGTGCTGAGTTGACAACTTCCTTGTTTGCAAGTTTTTTTTCTAATCATTTGAGAGATTTGGTTCCGTTTTAAGTCATTTCATTTATTTTCTCTCTCGCCCCCCCCCCCCCCCCCCCCCCCTTCTCCAGTTTCTTTCCAGGTACCTCTTAGTCCAAGTCTAGTGCAATCATGGTCCAGAAATATCAGTCACCCGTCAGGGTTTACAAGCACCCTTTTGAGCTGGTCATGGCTGTGAGTAAAACATTTTCCATAAATTTGGTTATTGCAATCAAATATAGAGCGTAGTTGATTATGTTTTTTCAAAAAAAATCTCTAACCACACAAGGACAAGGAAGTGCCCATTTGCCAAATTCACGTCATTTGCAAGTTTAAACGATATTCCTTTGTAATTGCATTGACCAGATATTTTAGACCAATTATCAAGAGGTTTTTTTCTAGGTCTCGATGTGCTAAAATGTGTACTTCCTGATGAATATTAAAATATTAATGGACTGTTCTTGTGCCGTCTTTGGAGACTATGGAGGAATATGTGTTTGCAGTATGTCAAGACTTTGGAAGTTTTAGAGCCAAATTAAACAAAAATGGAGAATAATAGTAATGGTTTGGGATTTCCATGTTCAATTCAGGATACTGATGTTTGTGGTATTACATTAGGATATTGGGTAAATTACACACAAAGGTGGGATATTATCACTTCTCCAGTTGATTGAATATGATTTTAAAAGTTATCAGAAATCTGGTTGGGATTGCAATAAGAATACAGATGAGAAATTCAGTGCCAAAGGTAACTTTATGTACCACCCTGCTAAATGCCTTATCTTGATCAGTGTAAGGTTTGCTGTTGTCTTGAACTGGAGGAAATAATTTTTGAGGAAAATGCCATTAGATAGCAGTAAACATTATAACACTTGATTGCTGGAGCAACATTTCTGAACCAACTGTAAAGGCAGTCAAATGTTTAGCTCGGTAGAATTCATTAATTCCAAGTACAGTATGTGAAGACTTGCAGAAGTAATTTTACCATTTGTTTTGAAAATAATGTTTCTTAGTATAATTTGGAGACCACTTAGAGTTACAAGTTGAATGCAAATGTATACTTTGAGGGTCTTGGCCAATTTTGATTATTAGTATGTCTTTGCTGATTGACAGGTGGGCTGTGGGCATTTTTTGACTGATGTGTTTGTGGGGGTTTAGAAATGTAGTGAGTTTAAGGAATTTGCATAGTCTTGTTGTTCATGGCTGTAGAGATACTCGTTTGCTAATATAATCTCCTCCTATAAAGGCTATGGGGGATATGATTGCACTTTCTGAAAAAATATTTTTCAGATTATTAAGTGATTGAGAATAAAGTGAATTGCTAAGAGGAGGATATTAAGGGTTAAATTCCAACTTTCGTTATGATTTATGGACGGAGATAACTTATCAAGTTAGAATTTGGCATACAAATCCAGTTCCTGTTAGAATGGGAATATCTGTAGCAAAACAGGATCCAGGTTTCCTTCTCGTAACTTAGTAACGTGTCTGCCAAGTTTTCATGAATATCTGTGCAGCTCTTCTTAGTCAATGTTTTGGGATAGTTTCATCGCCAAAGAGAAATGCAGAGTTATATTGTAGTGAAAAGGCTTTATTGAGAAAAAAAGTTTAAATATTTTAATCTTATCCACCCTTACATTATATATCTTTGAATGTAGGAATCCATTTAGGCTTCCACATCCAGTTTTCAGAAATTCAATATTAGATTGAAGTGAACAAATGGAGAGGTAGGGGACATAGTGTTATGATGATGTGCCCTGAGGTATTTTGAGAAACTTTTCTAAATTTTACTAAACCTACCATCGCATGCACTGGCACAACATCAGTGCTGCACTAATAGTTTGAACATATGATCCTTGCTCTCACCAAATCAATACGGAACACCTGTGACTAGATTCAACCTTGAGCACATGTAGTTAATATTTTGAACCATATTTGACTTATTTTATAGTATATTTATAGAAATAAATGGTACTCTTGAAACAAAGAAGCTATTCATGACATTAATTCTGTCAAGATAAAAGTAAATGCTTTGTTTAAGTAGGGCTATGAGGGATTCCTTCACATTGAGCTCATTATTCTAGGAATTCAGGTCAAAATTTAGGTTACAAGAATTGATATACAGAACACCATTCCTGATTCAACTGCTGCAGCAGAATTCCTCCTAAATTTTTCATAGAATAATGTAAACCAAGGTTAAATATTCAGGAGGTTGTCATAACCTTGATATTTTGTTGTTGGCAATTGATGTTTAATATATTGTAACTTATTAGTGCCCAAGAATTACATCAACTGAATGTGATCTATGATTCTAGCAAGGTTTAAGGAATCAAGGGGATTTTAAAATGCATTGCTTGTTACTTTTACTTTTCTATTTTTAGTGATAATAATCCTTGTATTTGATAAATCACCTTTTCATGTCGTTGAGACATGTCAAAGCGCTTCACAGAATATATTGTAAAGTGGAGTGACTATATTTTGTGGGGGAATCGTGGCAGCCAATTGCACATTGCAGTGTCCCACAAACAGTCGTGGATTCAGTGCCCAAATTATTTATTATTATTTTAGAAGGGATTATTACCCCCGAAAAGCGATCTGCAAATCGACCTATTTTTAGTAAGATAATTCTGTCCTTGTGCTGAGGATTTTTCAGGCTGCTACCTAAATTCTCTAAGGAATGCATTCTTTCCTAAAGATCCTAATTCATTGCTCTAGATAGTACTGTACTTTCATTGTTTAGTTCCTTTTTGAAATCCTTCGTAGTTCCTTGTTCCACTATATATTTTGATGCTTTTATGCAAATGTATGTCACTTTTTACTTCATTATTGTTTGTGGGACATTGCTGTTCACAAATTGGTTGCTGCATTTCCCTACAAAATATCCAGTTACTACACTTTACAGTGTATCCTGTGAAGCCCTAGGCATCCAATATGAAAGGCACTTTGATATTGGGTACACAGGAATTTCCATATGTAGGTGGGATGGGTGGATGTCGTTTTTTGGAAACAATGCTTTTAAGCATAGTAATGGGTTTATGCATGTGCCAAATACAATGATTATTATGTCTGAAATTTTTTTTTTAAATTGACTGCTTGTTGTTGAATTTTGCACATGGTAGCAAAACATATCCGCATCTAAATTTGTCAGACCATTCATGGTTCTAGATATCTTGTTCAAGTTTTCCTTCAAATATTTTAGATTGTGAGGCAGTTTTGTAATTGAAATATTTAATTTTGGTTTCACTGGGTATTGGTTAACATTACCTTGTATAAGAAGAATTTGTTAAACATTAAAGTTGAAAGAATTCGTAAATAAGCACATTCAATTAAGACATATTGTGAATGGTGTAAGGAAGGAATCAGTGTAACGGTTGAGTCATGTTTATATAAATACAACAGCAACAAACAACACAATTACATTTGTATAGTACCTTTCACATCGGGAGGACGGCCCAAGGAGCTGGACAATCAGTGTTTCGGACCCAAACTGGGGGTCGGGATCGGGGAAGGTGGAGTGCAGTGGGGGAAGGAGGGTGATCGAAGGCACGGTCGAAGAGGAGAGTCTTAAGACAGGATTTGAAGGAAGCTAGGGAGGTAGCAAGGCATAAATATACACATTTATAATAATCCTTGCATTTGATATAGCACTTTTCATGTCTTCTCGACGTCTCAAAGCGCTTCACAGAATAGAGTGTAAAGTGAATTGACTGTATATTTGTGGGCGAAACGCGGCAGCCAATTGCGCACAGCAGTGTCCCACAAATAGTCGTGGATTGAAAATGACCAATTTATTATTGTTTTGTTTTGGAGGGATTATTATTAGGTGTGTGGAGTAAGGGAACTTGCCCAAGGTTTCACCCTCTGCCTGGAATTGAACCCAGGTGTCTCGCTTGCAAGGCGAGTGCTCTAACCACTAAGCTACAGATTTCCACATTTATGGCTCTTCACAGAGTATTAATAAAATAATTGAAAGCAACACACAATGAAAAACATTTCTGGGGAGCAATATAGTGCAGATTCTATAGGTTTGCTTATTTTCTCAGAAATCTGAATAAATTGAATTCTTACATAAAATATCAGCACATTTCACTGCATTTTGTGAGGTAGTGTGTGCTGGCCAATGAATTGAAAAATCCAGGATTAGTCTGTTTATAGTAAATGTTACCCATACCAAAACTGGCCAGGTAAGTTTCGTACCTGGCCAGAGCCCTTTCAGTCATAATCCTAGCATTCGATATTGTGTCTTTCACATTGTCGAAACATCTTAAAGCACTTCACAGGATATGCTGTAAAGTGGTTTGACTATTTTGTGGGTGAACGCAGTAGCCAGTTTTACCACAGCAATATCTCACAAATGGCCATGGAATGAGTGACCAATTGTTGGCCAAGACACCAGGACAAATTATTCTCTTTCGAATGGTACATGGGATCTTTAATATCCATCTGGGCAGATATGACCTTGGTTTAACATCTCACCAATATAACACGCTCCCAGCACTGCATTGGCGTAGAGACTACATGTGTTCCAAGACCTGGCTTTGGGCTTGAATCCCCAAACTTCTGACTCGGAAGCAAGAGTGCTGCCAACTGAGCCATGCTGACAGTGATACAAGTGGTAATTCTAATGGCACCAGTTAAATATTACAGCAACATCCTTATTTGTACTAAAAACTAATGTACACACAGCCTTTGAGATTTTTCACGGCAGTATAGTTGTGCACTTGCAATGCAGTAGATGTGCTACAAGTGAACATGTTGAAACATTGAATACATTTATAGTAGGATTGGTTTGCCTCATTCTAAATTTTATTCATGAGTTGTTTTCAGTAAAATGTTAACATGCTAAAAAGGTACTTGAGAAATAAATATTTTTGGCAGTTTTTTTGCGTGCTTATATCAACACGCACATGACCGCGCTATTAGCTGATAAACACAGCTATCATTGTGTGGCAGCTGTTTACAGTATTAGCCACATTCTGGTCAGTGGTAGAATTGCTGAATGTGACAAAGATTCTGTTTTTATTACAGTCAACATCTTTGTAAACTGAAAAGAAATTTCCTAAATGCTGTAAAAGAATTACAACATGTTACCTTTAGCCTAAACCGTCTTAGTGATACAAGACTGGAATGGATCTAAAATATCCATTAAACTGTTTTTGTGAAATATCAATTAAATTGTACGTCCATTATCTGATGTA